CTATAAATAATTCTCAATCTCTCTCAACAAATAATTCTCTCTCTTTCTTTCTCTCTCTCTTAAACTCTCAATCTCTCTCAACTCTTAATTAATTTTGAAGTGTCATCCCTATGTGACAATTGCAATTGTGTAATAAGAAAGTTTTATTAGAAGAAGCTAATTTTTGTATCGCATTCGCCAGTTGGTAACATTAATTAGTTTAATTAAATTTATTAGCTACACATTTTTTTCATTAATTATTTGTGCACATATATTAATTATTATTTTTTACTAATTGTATTTACACATTATTTAAATTAATTGTTAATTATTGTATATTGTTTTACTTACATTACTATAGATCCTAATATTCCTAATGTTTATGTCGATAGTGATACATATACTACACAACATAAATCTGTTGATTCTCCTTCTAATATCCCTCTTCCAACAGTTGAATCATCATCTAGGGAAACAACTAGTATTGGTTGGGAACATTTTGAAAAAATATCTATAAATAATCCGAATAGTACAATTACATTTAAAACAAAATGTAAATATTGTGCACATTTACTTAGTGCTGCATCTGCAAAGGATGCTAGTCATTTAAAAAGGTATGCTAACAAACATTTACAAAGTCAACAACTTAATATTAGAAGTCAAATGCATTTAGAGGCTTTATCAGCTAGTAATTTACAAACATTTTCATATGATCCTATACGTGTACAAAATTCTGTAGTTGATTATATTATTAAAAAAAAAACAACAACATTTTACTACTAGTGAATGTCTTGATATTACCGAAATGATTCACGAAAGTTTTGCACTGCAATATCAAAGTTTTTCAAGAAATACTACTAGAAACAGGATTTTAAAGAAATTTGAGGATGTTAAAAGTGAATTATTTGACATCTTTAAAATTTTGAATGGAAGAGTCTGTTTAACATCTGATCTGTTATTAAATAATGGTTTTGAACATCAATGTATCACTGCACATTTTATTGATAATGATTGAAAATTAAATAAAAGAATTATTTTATTTAAATTAGTTGAACTTCCATGCACTGGTCATTCGCTTGGTGAACAAATAAGAAATGTATTATCTGAGTGGGCTTTACAAAATAAAATGTTTACAATTAGTTAGATAATGTATTATATTATAATCAAACTGTAGCACATTTAAAATCAACTTTACAATTACTTGTTGATAGTGATTTATTTCATGTTCGTTGTTGTGTCCATATTTTAAATTTGATTGTTGAAGAAGCTATGCATGTATACAAGACTTACATACTTGTAATAAAAAAATACAGTTGTTACTATAATGTCTTCTGGTAATCGAATTTCGGAATATAAAAAAATTTGTCAACAAGAAAATATGCCATTTAGAAAATTAATTTTAGATGTAGATAGTAGGTAGAATTCAACATATAATATATTAAAAATAACTTGCAAACAAAGAAAAACAATAGATTTATTTTTTGCAACAACATCAATAGAAGGAGTACTAACTCCCACAGAACTTAATTGGCGCCAAGTAGCTTTGTATAAAGATTTTTTAAAATTTTTTGATACTTCAACAAAATTATTTTCTTATATATATATATATATATATTTCTACTTCACCATTTGTTTTACATATGCTAGCAGAAATAATTAAGTTTTCGTAAAATATATGAGTAATAAATATTATATAACCATTATTACTTTAATGAAAGAAAAATATAATAAATATTTTGATCATTTACCTCATCTATTAAGTCTAGCCATAATAATTGGTCCTAGGTGTAAATAAATTGGTTTACAAGAATTTTTAGAGCGTCTTTTCGCTGATCAAACAAAATTTGCCTCTATTATACAAATATGCAACAAATTATTTGAAGAATACAGGGCATCTGCATCTGCATCTGTAAATACACCTATACACACTATACTAGTAGTTTCATCTCAAGGCGGGAGATTAAGTGCTTTTTCAACAATAAAAAGTAGAAGAATATCTCAACATACAAGTGTAAGTAGTTTTGAACTGTTCTGAACTACAACGTTATTTGGAAAGCCCGTCAATGGATGATTCCGATGATTTTGACATTTCGAAATGATGGAAACAAAATGAAACTATGTGGCTTGTGGTTTCACAGATGACCCATGATATACTAATCGTTCTTTTATTTTTACAGTTGCTTCGGAAACAGCTTTTAGTGCAGATAGACGGGTGTTGAGCAATTACCGGAGCAGACTTTCACCCCCAATGGTTGAGGCACTGATGATATTCAGAAATCATATGTATGCGCTTACAAGAAGACAAAATTATAGTGAAAATGAGCGAATTCAAAATGATTTGGATGACATATCCTCGGGCAACGTGACTGAAATGTCTGTCTTCTCCGATGATTGATCAACAATTTATTTTTTACTATTTCATTTCATTTCGGTTTTTTATTTTTATTTATTTATTTGTTTATTTATTTATTTTTTCCCTTTTATATTAGATTATTGAGGTGGAGTATAATACAAACTAGTAGATGCCAACCTAGTCGGGATGCAATTGACCTATAGTGATGTAATTGCTCTACCATCATCAATAATCTATTCATTTCGAAAGAAAAAAATTACATAATTGCATACTTTTTTAGTTATAAATTCATAATTAAAGAAACATAAGTCATACATAATTAAATTTAAATATCACCATGAAATATAACCAAACAAAACATCTCATTAATCTTAACTAAAATATTCTAGTATAATTTTTTGAAAATTTTTTATTCCTAATATAAAATATAAAAAAAAGGCCTGACTAGGCCTGGCCGGCGGCCCAGCCTCGAGCCCTAGGCCCTATTATGAATGGGCTTGGGCCCCACTTTTTTGGCCCATGGGTCGGCCCGGTCTGGCCCACTAAAAAGAAAGGAGCCCGCGAGGCCCACTTGGGCTGGGCCAGGCCATTATTACATCCCTAGTTGGTTAGTGTATTCTCGCATCCTCTCTAGAGTGATCTGAAGGCTGATATGTCCCCTAACTAAAACAACGTCGTTTTGATGAGCAACCTCACCCCCTAAAAATCTGAATCACAACTTGATGTGAGAGAGAGAGAGAGAGAGAAGGAGAAGGAGAAGGAGAAGGAGAGACAGAGCCATTGCCGACGCCAACGATCGTGCCGCCCATGAAGCTATTCCCGAAGTTTCTTCAACAGATTTGAAAAAAACACAGTTTCTTTTCCCAAACTTGAAAAATTATGAGGTTTTGATTTAAAAAAATATAGGGTTTTCTTTGAATGGTAATGGTAATATAAGCTTGTTGAATGCGTTGATGAGAGATTCTTAGCATATAAAATACCTAATATTTTTTTTCATTTGGGACTTTTTACCTAATTTATTTCAAATATATTCTTGGGTCGAAATTAGGGTTTTCATTTGGGGCTTTTTACATGATTTGGGGATTTTAATGTACACATTTACAATTATGAGTACTTTTTTAAGTACTTTTCTCTGAGTACATAGTATTGTTGATATTGAGATTGTTCATGCCATGCCCACATCAAAAGGCATCTAAAATATTTGTTTTCATTAAATAAAAAATTTACAATTTTGAACAGTTGGTGCACCAAATCATATTTTGTTGTTTAAATATTAGATGGATTTCATAGTTGAATTGAATTGAATACAATATTTTAGCCAAGGTTTGTCATTGAGTAAATTTCTTTTTGTAGTCCTGTTGTATGATTGCAATTTTTTATTTTTTTTATTTTTTATTTTTTTAGAGAGAGTATTTGGTCATTTAAATATATAATGCTTAAATCAAGACACTTTTACCAGTCCTTTTTGCTATTAGGTATGCATAATGCAGCTTGGTTTGAAATAGTATTGGAAAAAATTTGAATTGAATCTTAGTTTGAAACAGTACTGAAAAAGACAAAAAAAAAAAAAATGAATTGAATAGATCGCTTTGAATCTGAACTGAGTTACTAGAAATCAATCCGAGGAATAACTAAACTTTTGTGTGAAGTTCACATCGTGAATTTCATAGCTGTGTTCTTTGCATTTAAATGTCATGTTATTGAACTATATTTTTTAAGCAGATTTTTGGTGAGGCGGCGTCTTTGCTTTCTACTTATTTGCTTCTTCTTATAGGGTGAATAGGCAATTGTTGTCTCATTAATGTCAAGTTCCATTTTGATATTGTTTTAGGCGTCGTAGTAGAATGAGCATGAGCATGATAACGTGGATGACATTTCAAAAGCAATTGAGAGTGGATTGCAAGAAGACCATGGAAATTGACCAGTTGTTGGAACCTTTTGGACATTTTTTAAAGTCCAGTATTGCAAGAAGATGTTGGACCCTTTTATGTATAAATATGTTTTATGTTAGGATGACCTAAATAAGTGCATTTTTTATCTTTTTACGAAAAGATGTGCAAAAAAGTAGAGAGATGATGTGATGAAAAAAAATAAAAAGACAAAAATATAGATTATTTTGTGTATGCCAAACTTGGCCTAATAATTTTTAGGGAACAAGTTTTATGTTGAACGTTCTTAGAAACAGGCTTCTCTTTCTTCTTTTTCTGAAATTGAGCAGGTCATCTCTTTTGTATGTATAAACAAATCATCTGTTCTTAAGTTTTTTTATGAAATTGGACAGGTTTCATGCATGGATAGGTTTTATGGTGACCTATTTATGCTGAAATTGAGCAATGCATTTCTTTTCTATGTATAAGTTGTTGATATTTTGATTGGGATTCTTATATTTGTTTCAACCATGGACCATTGAGGTGAAGGACAACATTTTAAAACACTTTGGGACTCTATAAAATTGTTCCAAGAACAACTATTGTTGCAGACAATTCTACTCAATCAATGCACAAATCAAAATTGCCAAATGCTATAGACCATTCAATTCAATCAATGCACAAACCAAAATTGCTCTATAAAACATTCATTCAAATCATTTCATTCAACCAAGATGCTCAAACCATTCCATTCAATCAAAATTGCTAAATCGTTTAATTCAATAAAGATATGCAAACTATTTCATTCAATCAACCAACATATCATTTTATTCCATTAATATTGTCATACAAATATTTAATCTAACTGTAACATTCATATTAATTTAACTACGACATTTCATTTGATCTCACTTTATTGTTATCAATCAAGTCACTGTTCATGCAACCCAGGATCCACTATAGCAAAGCAGCCAAATTTGTCCCTTCAATTTAATTTTCTCACTTTCATGTTTCCTCATCCTTGTGTTTTCCTTTCTCTTTGTCAAAATCTTTGGTCTTTGCTTTATCTTTTCTATCTTCATCTTTACCTTTCTCATTTTTTTTCCCTTTTGTATCCAAAATCTGTAAAGGTGAAAATAAGAATATCAATAAAAGTTTAGATTTTTTTAATGACAATAACAGTCGCAATATAGAAGTTGAACACAAGCTAGCACACACTTTTCAATTGCATTTGGGCGAGATAAGATACACATAATTGCCCAGAATTTGCAAGCATAACAAAATTTGATATCTGTATGAGACTGAAAATAGTGTTTAAAGTTGTTATGCAGAAAGCAATCTTCTTTTTTTTTTCAATTTTATTTTTTTAAAATTAGAACTTCAAGCAATTCAACAATGCTTTGTTTAATCATCATAATTTATCAGAAACTATTCTTTTCTTTTTTTCAATTTTATTTTTTTTTAAATTAGAACTTCAAGCAATTCAACAATGCTTCGTTTAATCATCATAATTTATCAGAAACTATTCTTTTATAATCATCTTTCATATTAGAATCTGTTCTTGTAATATATCAACCATGCAAATATCCTCAAAATGTAGAGGCAATTTCATTGCAGAGGCATCCACCCTAATTTCTGAAGTTATTTCCTTCTCAATGAGAAAACAGGACCTTCATTTTTGAACTCACATAACATGACCAGAAAAGAAATTTACTCAATGACAAACCTTGGCTAAAATATTGCATTCAATTCAACTTTGAATGGCAAACATAAGGAAATAGGCAATTGTTGGAAAAGGAAAAACAAAACATAATATGTAGCAGTGTTTATATATGCAGATCAATAAGAAGTGCTACTGATTTGTTTCCAATGCTAAAAATTGTGTGTTTTGATGTCAGACAACAAAGATTACAAGAAAAAAGTAAAATCAAATTTGGAGTTACGAAAAATGGCTCATTTGTGACAAAAACTCAGATTGTTATTGTGAGCTATTAATTCTCTGATTGGTATATCTCAAATGGTTGCCAGACTCAACCCAAATGGATAAAAGAAAACCTTGAAACAGTTTTCTCTGATTGGTATATCGCAAATAGTTGCCAGACTCAACCCAAATGGATAAAAGCAAACTTTGAAATAGAGAACCACTATGCAACTCAAAGACAACAATGCAGATAAAAGAATCTACAAATCAAAGCCCCAAATAAAAACCCTAACTTTTCAATCTAGAATTCAATTTCTTAACCTGCTTTCATTCTTTCAATAATGAGTTTGGAGGATGAACCTGGTTTAATCTATGGCATGAGACAATGGCCAAGGACCGTCGTTCTTCTCAAAAGATTTCTTCTTCTCTCCTTTCATTTTGCACTTGTTTCGTCTTTCTCTCTTCGCTGAGGACAGCGGAGAACTCACCGGTGATGGTGGTTGTGCGTCTCTCTCTCTCTCTCTCCCTCTCTCTCTCTCTCTCGTTGTCTCCGAACTACGTCTCCCTCCTCTTTCAGTTGCCTTCGACCTGTAAAACAAAAAATTCTGTTTAGTTTTAAAATTATGATGTGAGGTTAGAAATATGATTTAAGATCAATGCTTGGTAGCTTGAATATGAAGTTGGTTCGAATGGCTTGAAATTCACCTTGCCGGTCGTCCGGGCGGACGTCCGACTAGGGGGTTGACAGCCGCGGTCGACAAAGGTGACAACCACGGTAAACAATCTTTCACCCGGTCGTCCGGGTGGACGTCCGGCCAACACCCATTCGGGCCATTCAAGCCTCCTCCAATTCGAGCTACCACGCTTTTTCCATGATTTAAATGTAGGGTTGTAAGTTAAGTTTTAAAGAGAAAAAAAAAATTATTTAGTTACGAATTTTGAAAAAAGTTCTTGAATTTTAAATTTTGAAAAAAATTCTTGAATTTTAAATTTTGAAAATAATTTTGAGTTTTAAAAAGAGTTTTCAGCTATATTTTAAGTTTTTTGAATTTTGAGTTGTATTTTAAAATTTTTTAGATTTATTTTTTTTGAAATATTAAAAAATGTTTAATTTTTTTTTAAATATATAATTTTAAATATTTTATTTTATTTTATTTTGTAAATATTTTAAATTTTTAATATTTTAAACTCAAAATATAACTCCACACTAAAATCGTAACTAAACACAAAAGTCAAAAATCAATTCAAAAACTATCTTCAAAACTCATAACCGAACACATAACTTCACGATACTTTCAAAACTAGACACTTAAATTGTAACCAAACACATGACTAAAAAATTAAATTATTTAAAAATATATTTATTTAAAATAAAAAAATAAAAAATAAATAAAAATAAAAATTATATTTAAAATATATAAAAAAATTAATTTTTTTTAATATTATAAAATATATTTAAAATATTTAAAAAAATACAACATACAAATGTATGAAATACAATGCACATTAAATAAATAAATAAATAAATATTTAAAAAATAAAATATTTAACCTAAAAAATAAAATTAAGAAACTTTTAAATATTTAAAAAAGTTAAATCCAAAAAAATTCAAAATACAACTTAAAAACTATTTTCAAAACTCATAACTAAATAAAATAAAAATTCAAAACTCAACTAAAAACTCATAACTCAAAACATGACTCTATACTCAAATCATGATTCTAAAAATAATTTTAAAAAATAAAATAAAAAAAATATTTTTCTGATTTTTTTTTTTTTAAATAGAGTTTTAAAAAGAATTTGGTTTTAAGTTTTGAAAATAGTTTTTGAAATGAGTTTAATATGTTTTTGAATTATGTAATTAGTTATAAGTTTTGAAATTTTTTTATTAGAATCACAATTTCAAAACAAAACCAAACTTCAAGTTTTTTTTTTTTTTTGGTCATTTTTCTCTACCTCTTTGCGCCTTCATTTTTCTCTACCTCTTTCTCTTCCTGCGACCAGAAACCACGCCTTACTTCTTCTCTTTCTCTTTCTGATATATAATCATCGGCGACCAACGATCACGATTAATTGAGGTTCACTGGCAACCACCGACCACAGACTCTTTACTTCACCCTCACTGAAGGCAAAGGAGATGAGTTTCCGGTGAAGAAGATAAGATCTACTTAAATCTGATATCAATTTACTCAAATTTGAATAGATCTAAACCAAAAATAGTTTTCGGAGTACAATATTCTCTTTATATATGTTTCTCTTATTCATTTTCTTAATTTTTCTACTTTTTCTCTGCTACACACTTCTATTTTCCTATTTTAATGAAGAAAATTTTCAAATTCTGAATAAGTTGTTTTCAAGTTTTAATTACAGACAGTGAAAACTATAAAATATTATAGTTTTAAATTTTTTGTTGCGGAAATGAATCATGCTTTAAAATTCTAAAATTTCGCAATTTCATAACATTTTTTAGAATTGTAAAATTTTACAATTTCATAATATTTTTTAGAATTGTAAAATTTTACAGTATCATAACTTTCTTTAGAACTATAAAATTTTACAATTTCATAACATGTTTTTCAATTTGATTAATAAAGATAAATGCGTAATTTCAAAACTTGTTTTTCAGTTTGACCAATATTTGAGATTATTTGTTTAAACCCTACAAAAAGTTGAAAAATAATACATGTTTTTTTCCCATTGTTGATGTTTGTAATTATTATGTTTTTTTTCTCTTTCAGTTTATCAATATTTAGCACATTTTACTATGTTTATTCACTCTAATTTCTCCATTTTTTTTTCTCAACAATATTCTGGACATTTCGGTGAATCTCCGACGATGTTCTTGACGTCTAGCGAACGTTCTAGACATTCCAACGACTTCCAGTGACATTCAAAACATTTCAGCGATACTCCGACGAACTTCTGGTGATACAGTGACTTCCGGTGATGTTAAACATTCCGGCGAGTCTTCGGTGACCGTTTGACAGAAGTCCGGCGATAGTGGGATGTAGCAACGTTTTTCAACTTAAAAAAAAAAAAAATTTTTGGTAACATTTAAAAATATAGAGGACTGATTGGTGCAAGTGTTCTGTTTTGGGATTAAATGGATTTTGAATTTCGTGTATGAGACTAAATAAGAAGTGCCCTTTTTTTTATTTTCATTTATTTTATTAGATGGGCTGGATCTATTTGATACCGATTAGTATTACATTATAGGGTTAATTACACTTTCTATCCCTACAGTTTGATCTAAATTTTAATTAGTCTCTATAGTTTCAAATTGAACAATTTGATCTCTAAACTTTAAGTTCAGTTTCAATTTGATCTTTCTATCCAAATTAGAGGTTAAATTTAATCTCATGATTTCAGTTTCAATTGACAAGTTCAGTTTCAATTTGATCTTTCAATTTTAATATGTACACAGATAAAATTAACAAAAATATAGAGGGAATAACCGAATTGAAATTGAACGTAGGGACTAAATTGTTCAAATTAAAACTAAATAGACTATAGTGAAATTTTGATCAAACTACAAGGGTGAAAAAAGTAATTAACCCTAGATTATAATGCTACGTCTCCATATCCCACTTTTTATTTAGAAACATTTAGATTAATTTTTTACTAGCATAAAATTCATGTTATGCACGGTCTTAAATAGATGACAACGAAAAAAAAAAGAAGTAAATTTGAAATTAAATAATAGCAATAATATTTTCTGAACGTACAAACAAAAATTAGAATAAAATAATTCTAATTGTATTCATTACAACTACATTTAAGATTGTTTGCATGGTTGATTTAAGTTCAATCATTGTGGTTGGGAGGAAAAATCTCTTTAGGGGATTTTAGAAGCGTGCTAACATATAACCTAGTAATCCTCATTATAGCGATCCCGGATTTACCCTTGTTGTATAGTGATCCGGACATGTGTCCGTGGATGTTGGTAATTGATTATTATCTTGTTTACGTCCTTTCTTACCTTGTATTTGAGTTATAGGATGTGTTAGGCAGGCTTGACTATCGCAATGAATGCAAATGGTTGGCATAGGTTTTGGCCACATTGGGATATCCTCTAGAAATTGACGAAGCCACTCTCCTTCTTCACTTGCTTTATCTAAAGCGATAAATTCGGACTCCATTGTGGACCTTGCAATGCATGTTTGTTTGGTTGACTTCCATGAGACTGCTGCACCTCCCAAGGTAAAGACATAACCACTGGTAGACTTAGAGTCTTTGGTGTCTGAGATCCAATTAGCGTCACTATAACCTTCTAATACTGCTGGATATCTCATATAGTTAAGCCCATAGTTTCGAGTATACTTTAGATATCTAAGTACCCTAATTATTGCTGTCCAGTGGTCTGTTCCTGGATTGCTAGTATACCTGCTTAATCAGCTAACTGCATATGCTAAATCTGGACAAGTGCAGTTCATGAGGTACATTAAGCTTCCGATGATTCGGGAGTATTCTACTTGTGATACACCTTCTCCCATATTCTTTATCAAATGAAGATTAGCATCTATAGGGGTCTTAGCGAGACGATCGTCATGCTTGTTAAATTTCTCAAGTATTTTATCAACATAATGTCCTTGAGACAAGGTATATCCTTCAGATGTCTTTGTAATTTTTATTCCAAGTATAACATCTGCTATCCCCATATCTTTCATGTCAAACTTAGAGTTCAACATTTTCTTGGTAGCTTTGATCATTTCATTATTACTACCAAGGATGAGCATATCATCTACATATAGGCAAACAATGACATATCCCTTTTCTGTGTTTTTCACATAAACACATTTATCACATTCATTAATTTTAAATCCATTTGACATCATTACATTGTCAAATTTTTCATGTTTTTTTGTTAAATGCCACATTAATATATCCTTAAAATAATCAAATAAATAGAATAATTTGACAACTTTTGATAACTTTCTGACTAAGAGCTAGTTTTCAAACTGGCCTATTTTGAAAAGGTAATTAAAAATTGACTTTTAATTTTTTTATTTTTTTAAAAGAAAAATTTTAAATGTATAAAAAAAAAATAAAGATGTGAGGTAATAAAAAATAAAAAAAATAAAAATGGCCAAAGACTCAAAAAGCTGATTTTTTAACTGTTGCCTAAATAGGCCAAGATCTTGATATTACGTGGATTAAAATTTTACGGGAGTCAAAGGTAATTATGTTAAACTTATGAGATTGATTCTTGTTTGGCTTTGGTTTTTTAAAAAATAGTTTTCAGAAAATTTTACTTTTTTATTTTTCATATTTTAATTTTTTAATGACTTTTTTTAATATTTTAAGTTATTTTTTTTTAATTTTTAGACGCACCTAACATAAATATACTTAAAAAAGATTATATTTGTAAAAAAAAATCTTTAAAAAATACACTAAATACCAAAAATATTAAAAATATATAAAATTCAGTACATTTTCATATTTTTGTGTGTTTATTAATTTTTTTTTAAAAAAATTCACAAATATTTTACTATTTAGATACATCTAAGTAAGGTGCATGTAAAAAAATAAAAATAAAATGGCTTAAAATATAAAAAATATTCACTAAAAATAAAAATATATGAAAAATAAAAAACACAATTTTCAAAAAATTAAACTCAAAAAACTGAAACCAAATATTTTTTTGCTTGGTTCCCATTTTTTAAAAACAGTTTTCAGAAAATTGTATCAATTTCTCATTCACTCGTAAATGATTTCGACCACCCGAGTATATATTATTGTTTACCACATGGCAAGGAACGTATTGCCACTCGGACCCACCCAAACCGAGGTGTGGGACCTACATTAATTAAAGCTCAAAATTATCGAAAATTAATGGTGAAAATACCATTTCTCTAACAATCCCCCATATGAATGAAATTGAAAACGAATATGCAACAACATGCAGACACTGAGAGTACAAAACTGAAAATATCCTGCAAATGATAGGTAGCTTTTGGCTTTGAACCTTCCCTTGTGAAAGACGATCGGGTTTACTGGCTGATTAGTGAACATGATGTCTTGAACTATTCTGCCATTGGTGTAAACCGAGACAACAGTCTGTCACACAGTTTTATTTCCTTACACAATCTGGTTCTATCGGTTGTGCCCATTTCGGCCCTAGACAATACCTGGTTTTCCTGAGTGCTCTAGAGAATTAGCCTTTTTCCAATTCCCATAAAACCGGCCCAGTTCACACTCATATAGGTGATTTTCATTAAGAGTATTCTGCTATACCCCACTTGAATTTCCAAGATATGAATATCATTAAAAGCAAAGCTTAACCTGATTAGCGCTGCAGACATCACTATGTTATCATAGGAAATGGTAGGAAAAATTTTTCCTTAGTGATACTAATGAGTCACACATAATTCGGTTGTCCCTTTGAACCTAGATTTTGGGATCTCCAGTCAGTTAGGTTGGGTTGCCATTAAGGCGGCTCTTTAGTTAAAAGGCTTTAAGCCCATTCCCCTCGATGATCTTAAAACTTGCTCTCTGGTCAAACCTTTGGTTAACGGATCCGCGATATTATCTCTTGACCTTATGTACTCAATAGAGATCACTCCATTTAAGAGCAGTTGCCTAACAGTATTATGTCTACGTCGAATATGACGAGACTTACCATTATACATATTATTTTGTGCTCTTGCCATTGCTGCTTGACTATCGCAATGAATGCAAATGGCTGGCACAGGTTTTGGCCACATTGGGATATCCTCTAGAAATTGACGAAGCCACTCTCTTTCTTCATCTGCTTTATCTAAAGCAATAAATTCGGACTCCATTGTGGACCTTGCAATGCATGTCTGTTTGGATGACTTCCATGAGACTGCTGCATTTCCCAGGGTAAAGACATAACCACTAGTAGACTTAGAGTCTTTAGTGTCTGAGATCCAATTAGCATCACTATAACCTTCTAAAACTGCTGGATATCTCATATAGTTCAGCCCATAGTTTCGAGTATACTTTAGATATCTAAGTACTCTAACTATTGTTGTCCAGTGGTCTATTCCTGGATTGCTAGTATACCTGCTTAATCTGCTAATTGCATATGCTAAATCTGGACGAGTGCAGTTCATGAGGTACATTAAGCTTCCGATGGTACGGGAGTATTCTACTTGTGATATACCTTCACCCATATTCTTCATCAAATGAAGATTAGCATCTATAGGAGTCTTAGCGAGACGATCGTCATGCTTGTTAAATTTCTCAAGTATTTTATCAACATAATGTCCTTGAGACAAGGTATATCCTTCAGATGTCTTTGTAATTTTTATTCCAAGTATAACATCTGCTATTCCCATATCTTTCATGTCAAACTTAGAGTTCAACATTTTCTTGGTAGCTTTGATCATTTCATTATTACTACCAAGGATGAGCATATCATCTACATATAG